TCGGGGGCAGAGGAGAGGGCGGGGAGGTGTAGAGGTGAGTGTGCCGGACGCGGGACCTGGGCCGGGAAAATAGGAGAAGGCGGAAGGGCCGAGGGCGCAGAGGGGCCGGATCCTTCTCCTCTCCAGCCCCTGGAACCCGGGGTTTGCGCGCTGGGATGCGCGCAGCGGTGGAAACCCTCAACCCCCGAGCTTAGAAAACGCGAAATCTTTTCTGAAAGCAGGGGGCAGGCAAACCTCAGTTTCTCTCTGCTTTGCAAATTAAAACAGACCCGGTGATGCTTTTAAGCCATCTCGAGGTTTAAAACGGGGCTGGCGGGGCCCTTCGCTGCGCTGGTCCCTTCCCAAACGGAGACGGCTCATCCCGCAGGCTCTGAATTTGGGATGCAAAGGAAGGAGCCGCTCTGCCAGCCCACAGTCGTCGTCCTCTAGAACCGAGCGGGATTTCTCAGGCAGTTTTTTCCCTTCTGCGTCTCTTCGGGGCCACCGTGCCGCGTTCAGAGGCTGCGAGCGGGACCCCCGAGACCCTGCGGTGCCAGGGAGCCTGGCTGGGTGCTGCGAGGTCTGCTCAAGTCCCATTTTTTTTGGCAAGAAGCGGGGTTTTTTGCAAGGGTGTTTTTGAGCTTTCCAGTAGCCCATCCCTCCCCTGGAGCTGCCCTCAGAGCTCTCGCTTGAAAAGGGAAGGAGGAAAAGGGGTTGCAGGAGGAGATGTGGGAGCCGGTGACACCCATACGCAGCTCTCGAGGGGGACCCAAACCTTCCCACCCCCTGGAGATCGGTGAGGATGAGCAGCCCCCTCCTCATCCTCACTCACCCGCAGGCCGGGTCTCATTTTTCGCTGCCTTTATTAGACTGCGGATAGCTTTTTTTTTTTTTTTTTCCCCTCTCCAAAAATCGATGCGGTTGACGGGAGCGGGTTTGCAGCAGCGGCGAGGCGAGGGAGGCCGGGGGAGGATGAGGACGGTGTTTTGGGACATCCCGAGTCTCTGTCAGGCGCAGGGACAAACCGATGCGGGGCTTTAATGGCAAGAGCGGGCTGGGGCGCTCGTGTCACTGGGGTTTTTCGTTATCTGTCTCCGGTTTTTGTTTGTAATTCTTGAATTTCTTGAGTATGGATGATGTCTCCAGGATAAAATCGCACCTCTAAGGGCGATGCTCGGCAGCTGTGCCTCTCCCCCTTCCCTCGACCAAAACCATGAGCTGCCACTTGTCCCCTGGCTCGGGGCCACCCAGCAGGACCGTGTCCGTCCCCCCCTCTCCCCCAATCCCAAATCCCTGCTTCAAAGACCCAGAAAGGGTCCCTGGTCCCCAGGGAGAGCTGCCCTTGTCCCCAAGTGATTTCTCCCCCTCCAAAACTTCAGGCTGAAACTCAAGTTGCTGCATGTCCCTCCCGCGGTGACTGCCGCTTGGCTGGGGAAGCTGTGATATTCCCAGCCCAATTCCCAGTGGTTTAGATCCAATTCCCGGAGGTTTAGCCCCAATTCCCAGGGGTTTAGCCCCGATTCCTAGGAGGGGTTTAGTCCCAATTCCCAGCGAGGTTTTGCACTGTTTCTCCAGCTTGGCCAGGCCCAGGGGACCGGTGTGAGGCTGGAAGGGGGTGGAAATCCTGCAATGTTCTTCATCCTCCTAAATCTAACCTGTCTCTTGAGCATCCCTGGGCTTGCCTCTTGCATCAGCACGTGCTCCGGCTCCGGTGCTGGAGCCTCCCCCCCAAAAAAAAGCCCTTACGAAGCAGCTGTGCTCTGGGCTTCAAAGCCAGGGCTGCGAACAAACCCCAGCCATCTCCCCAAAATAGCTGTTTGGAGTGGCACCCGCTCTCTCCCTCGGTCCAAAAAACCCAGATATTTGTGCAGCCAGTTCCCTGCAGAGATTTGAGGTGGGGAATTGAGCCAGGTTTTGGGGCTGGGGACCTGCGCCCTCCCCTCTGCCGATGGCCCCGGCAGCTCCCCACACTCCTTGTGGATGGGAATTGGACACTGGGGGGTTCTGGGGTAGGTTTTGGGGCGGTCTCTGAAGCACGTGGGGGTTATTTAATGCAAAAGCCAGGGCTGGGAGGAGGATATGGGATGGGTTTGGGGCTGGATCTCTGTCCCCAGGGTGGAGGATGCCGAGCAGGCTGGTTGCGGGAGGCCGAGGGTGGCTCGTGGCGGGTACCAAGCCAGGGATGAGTTAAACCGGGCTGGGGAGGCAAAGGGAGCCGTGTCGGGGGGCTGGTGGCCCGGTTCGGGGTGGGGGTGGCCACATCCTGTGGGAGGAGAGCAGGGGGAGAGCTGCTAAAACCAGCACGGCATCCACATGAAGGAGCCCAGGGCGGCGCCGGTGGCAGCCCCTGCCAGCAGCCCCAAGGCCATCTGGTCCCCGGAGACCCGGTAGGGATCCTCGCGCACAATGACGTGGGTCACCCCAGGAGCTGCAAGGCAAAAAGGGGGGGGGGCTGAGGGGTGGGGTGGGGGGACACTGTCTTCGTGGCACTGTCCTGATGCCGACAGAGGGGCACCGCTTCCCCCAAGGGGTGCCACCGGCCTGGGATGGAGAGGGACCCCCATTTTTGGCTGTCACCCGTGTCCCCTGTGTAGCCACGGCTCCCTCCAGCCCCCCCACCCCAC